AGGTAGAAGAGACATTGAACTTGGAACTAGGAGATCTAGGTTCTAGATCTTGCAAATCAATTAACCTCTCTGGTTTTTCTTTTATCCTTTAGAAAACTGAACCCAGAGAGTGAAGGGTCTGAGTATTTATTTTCTGATTAAGAAAGCAGATAATTGGCTCAGTGCCTGTGGCTCAAGTGGCTAAGGCGCCAGCCACATACACCCAAGGTGGCAGGTTCAAATCTAGCCTGGGCCCACCAAACAACAATGATGGCTGCAACCAAAAAATAGCTGGGCATTGTGGCAGGTACCTGTGGTCCCAGCTACTCAGGAGGCTGAGGCAGGAGACTTGCTTGAGCCCAGGAGTTAGAGGTTGCTGTGAGCTGTGATGCCATGGCACTCTACCCAGGGGGACAGCTGGAGGGTCCTTTCTCAATAAAAAAAAAAAAAAAAAAAAAGAAAGCAGATAATTGTCTTAAAGGTGCCATCTGAAAAGTACAAACCATGATTCCTACATATATGTATATTTTTGAGACAGACTCTCACTCGGTCACCCTGGGCAGAGTGTCATGGTGTCTTAGTTCACAGTAACCTCAAACTCTTGGGCTCAAGTGGTCCTCTCATCTCAGCCTCCCAGGAAGCTGGAACTATAGGCACCTGCTACAATGCCCAGCTATTTTTTTCTATTTTTAGTACAGATGGTCTCTAAATCCTGAGCTCAAGCAATCCACCTGCCTTGGCCTCCCAGAGTGCTGGGATTACAGGCATGAGCACTGCACCTGGCCTAAACTATGATTAATATTGATGGTGGTGTTTGGTGTATTAATAACATTTCTTTTATGATGGTTTGGCTAGTGTTGCTATCATGAATAGAAAACAAAACTCACAAAGATCATTTGCAGACTCACATGTGATTCTTTTTCTTTTTTTTGAGATGAGTCTCACTTTGTCACCCTCAGTAGAATGCTGTGGTGTCATAGCTCACAGCAACCTCACACTCTGGGCTCAAGCAATCCTCTTGCCTTAACCTCCGGAGTAGCTGGCACTACAGGTGCCTGCCACAACACCCGGCTAGTTTTTCTATTTTTAGTAGAGACAGGATCTTGCTTTGGCACTGGCTGGTCTTAAACTCCAGAGCTCAGGTAGTCCACCCACCTTGGCCTCTGAGAGTGCTAGGATTGCAGGCATAAGCCACTGTGCCTGGCTCACACATGTGATTCTTCATCCATGAAAATTAAACACATTAAGTTGTTGGCAAGGATAGTTTCACCCAAGTCTTTGAATTCTATGCATGTGGGTTGAGAGAATCCTAGAATATTGATGCCATTGGCAACATTGTCTCCTGTATCTGAAATGATATAAAAACTTAGTTATAGAAAAGACTAACTTGTTTTCATATTAAAAGTAAAGAGGAAACAAGGTAGCCACATGTGGTCCTGCTTCATTCTTATTGCAGGATTGAAGCTGCTTTCTGCTACCCCATTCAGTTTGGGGGAGCCCCTTCTCCATCTACAAAGGGATTAAACATTATCTGGACCCGCTTTTCAATTCTTAGCTCTTATTTCTGAATAAGTTAGAGCTAAGTGAGATGCTGTGATGGGACATGTTAAAATGTTGATGCCCAAGTTGTCATCTTCCGGAGAGAGGTTCTGTTATGAGTCATTAACACCGGTGGCCTAACCTGCAAATACAGAAGCTACAATCATAGGAAAGCCATCGTCTGTAAAGTGTCACTCTTTATAGTGGGCAAATAGAATTACGAATGTTTGTAGAGGCTCTGCCCTTACTGACTAGCTAGCCATATCTGAAGTGTGAGGTCACAGGTCTGTGCGGAGGCACTCCAGGGAAGAACTTTGCAGTGACGGTTGGGGCTCCAGCATTTAAGATTTTTCAGCATAAGGTGAGTCACCAAATTGAGGATGGGGTGGGAGATGCAACCTTGAAAATCCACACATATTCTTGCCTGAGTTTGTATGAATTTATGAATCTATGGAAACAATCGTATAGAAAGCACTGAGGTTGACAACAGTGTTTCTGGATATGAGGCTGCATGTAAAGGGGACAATGGCACATATATAATGTGGGGTATCTAGTGTGTGTGGGTGGGGGAATGTGTGTTTGAATGGGCAGGTGGAGTGGTCTGTCATGATGGAATAGCTAGTTTTCTGATTTTCAGGAGAGTTTATTGTCATTACTGGGGGAATGAACAGAGGCTGGTTAATGGGTACAGATATATAGCTAGAAAGAATAAGTTTTAATGCTCAAAAGCCTTAAGGTGGTGGTGCCCATAGCTCAGTGGGTAGGGCACCAGCCACATACAACAAGGCTGGCGGGTTTGAGCCTGGTTAAAACAACAGTTAAAACAACAATGATAACTGCAACAACAACAACAAAATAGCCAGATATTGTGGTGGGCACCTGTAGTTCCAGCTCCTTGGGAGGCTGAGGCAAGAGGAGAACTTGAGCCCAGGAGTTTGCAGTTGCTGTGAGCTGTGATGCCACAGCACTCTACCAAGGGCAACAAAGTGAGACTCTGTTTCAAAAAAAAAAAGAAAAGGCAGAATAAGGTAACTATAGTTAACAATGATATATTATATATTTCAAAATGGCAGGAAAACAGACCTTAAGGTATTTCTACCACATAGAGATGATAAATACTCCTGGTGATGAATACCCTGACTTGATCATTACACATTCTATGCATGTAACAAAATACCATGTATAACCCACAAAATAAATATTATGTATCAATAAACTTTTTTAAAAGGAGATGTAGCCTTCCCTGGATAGAGACTCCATTTTCAGTTGAACTGATACTTTGGGTTTCAATCTATTTAGAACAGTGCTTCTCAACCTTCCTAATAGCTACATTGTTACAAATGGAAAAAGGGGGTTGCGACCCACAGGCTGAGAACTATTGATTTAGAGGCTAAAGACAACTCATGAAAGTGCTGATTGCCAGGGACCAAAAATAACCATGGTTAGGTACTGCTGGTAAAAATTAATTTTTCTTCTTTAAGGAGGTCTTTTATATTCGTCAATGCAGAAGAGCTGAATTTTCAGCCGTTCTATACTTAACCGGGGTAAGTGCAGCTAAATGAGCCCCTCATTTATGCAACTATTGTCTCTGAGCAGTGACTGCTCAAATCTTAGTTTCCAACTAAGCAGTGACGTTTCAGAGAAGTGTGATTTAATAGGAGACCATATCAGTAATAATATATGAGGAAGCTGCAATCCAACTTTTACGCTGTGTCTGGAACTGGGAGTTGGTTAATGGTACAAACGCAGTTAGAAGTAATAAGTTCTGCTGCTCAAACGCAGAGTAGGGTGGCTGTAGTTAACAATGATGCATTATAGATTTCAAAATAGCTGGAAGAGAGGACCTGAAATGTTCCTAACACATAGAAATGATAAATACTCAGCCCTGAGAAGGGGACCCAGGGGGGATCTTACACATTCTATGCATATAATAAATAAAGGGCGTGAGAAACCAACAAGAGAGTAGGAAGGTGGCGGGGGTGGGGGGGAGCGGTGTGGGGAAGAAAATTACTGATGGGCTACAGTGAACACTGTTCTGCTGTTGGGCATACCAAAAGCCCTGGCTTAAGCATTATACCAGACGTCCAGGTAATAGGGACAGGCATGGTGGCTCACGCCTGTAATCCTAGCTCTCTGGAAAGCTGAGGTGGGACGATCCCTTGAGCTCAGGAGTTTGAGACCAGCCCGAGCAAGAGCAAGACTCTGTGTCTACTAAAAATAGCAAAATTAGTTGGGCATTGTGGCAGGCACCTATAACCCCAACTATTAGGGAGGCTGAGGCAGGAGGATCATTTAAATCCAGGAGTTTGAGGTTGCTGTGAGCTAGGCTGATGTCTAGCCTGGGACAATAGAGTGAGACTCTGTCTCGAAAAAAAAAAAAGTATCCATCAGGTAACAAAACACTTGTACCCTTTAGATTAACATTTTGAAATAAAAAAGAATTATGTGGGCAGCGCCTTGGCTTAGTGGGTAGGGCGCTGGCCCCATATACTGAGGGTGGCGAGTTCAAACCCAGCCCCGGCAGAACTGTGACAAAAAAGTACCTGGGTATTGTGGAAGGCGCCTGTAGTCCCAGCTACTCAGGAGGCTGAGGCAAGAGAATCGTCTAAACCCAAGAGTTGGAGTTTGCTGTGAACTGTGTGATGCCACGGCACTCTACCGAGGGTGATAAAGTGAGACTGTCTCTACCAAAAAAAAAAAAAAATTATGTATCTTTGAAGAAACTGTAGTAACATGAAAATAAATGGGATAACTGAAATTGCCTAGATGCCCATGTAAAAAGAGAGAAAAGCAAGGATCCAGTGTAGGAGACTTTGAAAAAGGAGGGGAAATTGGAACCACTTGCACTCTAACATTCTTTTGTGAGCTTTTGTTTTATAGGGTCTGCAGATAAGGCTTAGTGATTT